AAAAAAAAAATCCAGGCTCATTTTCTTTCATTGGAGAATTTTAACAAACATTCAAAGAAGAATTAGCACCAATTTTATACAATGTCTACCAAAAAATAGAAGCAACACTTACCAATTCATTTTTATTAGTATTACCTTAATACTAAAACTAGAAAATAATAGCACAAGAGAAATAATAAATAAACCATCACAGACCAACATCTCCCAAAAGCCTAGAAACAAAAATCCTCAACAAAATTTTAGCAAATCGAATCCAACAATGCACAAAAATATATACACCATAACTAACTGGGATTAATTTGGGGTATGCAAGGCTAGCTCAGTACATAAAAATGAATCAACATAATCTACATATCAACAGATCAAAGAAGAAAAATCTTATGATCATATCAATTGGTGCAGAGAAAGCATTCAACAAAATTCAATACCCATTCATAATAAAAGTTCTCAGGCAGGGCATGTTGGCTCGTGCCTGTAATCCTGGCACTTTGGGAGGGCCAAGGCAGGCAAATTGCTTACCCACGAGTTCGGACTAGCCTAGACAACACAGTGAAACCCCATCTCTACAAAATACAAAAATAAATTAGCCCAGTGTGGTGGCATGTACCTGTAGTTCCAGCTACTTCGGAGGCTGACATGGGAGGATCACTTGAGCCAGGGGAGGCTGAGACTGCAGTGAGCCATGAGCACACCACTGCACTCCAGCCTGGGTGACAGAGTGAGACCCTGTCTCAAAAACAAAAACAAACAATCAAAAAAAACCTCTCAGTATACTGAGAGATTTTATATAGCTGGGAACCTTTTCAACCTCATAAGTAACATCTACAAAAAATCTACAGTTAGCTTCATACTTACTAGTGAAAGACTAAATGCTTTCCCTCTAAGATGAGGAACAAACCAGTTTGCCTGCTCTCATCAACCTTACTAACATAGGACTGGACATTCTTGTCACTTCAATAAGGCAACAAAATGCAAGTAAAAATCAAAGTAAAGATTGGAAAAGAAGAAATAAAACTGTCTCCGTTTACAGATGCCATGACTGTCTACATAGAAAACTCTAAGGATTCGATGAAAAGCTTCTAGAACTAATGAGTGATTTTAGTAAAGTCACAGAATAGATCAGTTGCAGAATCCACAGAATACAAAATCAATACAGAAAAGATCTATTGCATTTCTATACACTGACAATGAACAAGTAAAAACCTAGCTCACAAATCAAATTCCGATTAAAATTTGCTCCAAAAAAACACTTAGGTATAAATTTCAACAAAATCTAATATAGAGGAATTGTATTATAAAAATACTGATGGAATAAAATTTTTTTTTTTTTTTTTTTTTTTTTTTTTTTTTTTGAGACGGAGTCTCGCTGTGTCTCCCAGGCTGGAGTGCAGTGGCGTGATCTCAGCTCACTGCAAGCTCCGCCTCCCGGGTTCACGCCATTCTCCGGCCTCAGCCTCCCAAGTAGCTGAGACTACAGGCGCCCGCCACCACGCCCGGCTAGTTTTTTGTATTTTTAGTAGAGACGGGGTTTCACCATGTTAGCCAGGATAGTCTCGATCTCCTGACCTCGTGATCCACCTGCCTCGGCCTCCCAAAGTGCTGGGATTACAGGCTTGAGCCACCGCGCCCGGCCGGAATAAAATTTTTAAAGTTGAAGAAATAGACCATGTTTGCAGATTAGAACCAAGGTAGTAAAAATGTCAATTCGCCCTAAATTGATCTATAGGTTAAACACAATTCCTACTGAAATCTCAGTAAGTTTCTCTGTGGACATAGACAAGCTTATTCTAAAACTCATATGAAAAGAGAAAGACCTTAGAATAGTCAACATAATTCTGAAAGGAAACAGAGTGAGAGGAATCATGTTTCCCTGTTATGACTTACTATGCAGCTGTGGTAATCAAGACAGTGTGATACTGGCAAAGGGACAGACACATAAATCAGTGGAACAGAATAGAGAACACAGAAATAACTTCAAACAAATATGCCCAATTGACATTTGGCAAAGGAGCAGAAGCAATTCAATGGAGGAGGGATAGCCTTTTCAACAAATGGTTCTAGAATAATTGGTAACCCACTGGCCAAAAAAATAAAGCTCAACCTAAACTCATACCTTGAACAAAAATTAACTCAAAATGGACCATGGGCTTAAATGCAAAATGCAACACTACAAAACTTCTAGACAGATCTAGGACTACGCAAAATGTTCGTAGACTTATTATCAAAAGCATGATCTGTAAAAGTAATAATTGATAAGTTGAGCTTCATCAAAATTAAAAACTTTTGCTCTGTGAAAGACCCTTCTAAAATCATAAAAAGACAAATTACAAACTGTGAAAAATATTTTCCTATCATGTATCGGACAAAGTCCTTGTGTCCAGAATATACAAATAACTCTCAAAAGTAAACAATAAAAAGAATCTAATTAGACAATGGGCAAAAGATATGCACAGACATTTCACCAAAAATATGTAGATGGAAAATAAACACGTAAAAACATATTCTACATTATTAGCCACTAGAGAAATTGCAAATTAAAACTACATATAGGCTAGGCACAGTGGCTCACGCCTGTAATCCCAGCACTCTGGGAGGCCGAGGCCAGTGGATCATCTAAGGTCAGGAGTTCGAGACCAGCAGACCAGCCTGGCCAATATGGTGAAACCCTGTCTCTACTAAAAAAAAAAAAAAAAAAATTAGCTGGGCATGGTGGCAGGGGCCTGTAATCCCAGCTGCTGGGGAGGCTGAGGCAGGAGAATCACCTGAACCTAGGGGCAGAGGTTGCAGTGAGCCGAGATCACGCCACTGCACTCCAGCCTGGGCAACAAGAGAGAAACTCCATTTCAACAACAACAACAAAAACTACATACATATCACTACACATCAGAATGGCTAAACTGCAAAATACTGACAGTACCAATTGCTGGCAGAGATCCAGAAAAACTGGATTATTCAGACATTATTGGTGAGAACATAAAATGGTACATTTACTCTGGCCAACAGTTCAGCAGTTCTTTCAAAACTAAAGATGGGCTTACCATGTAACCCAGCAATTACACTATTGGGCTTATACCCCAGAGAAATGAAGACTTATTCTCATGCAGGAACTTATGCATAAATGCTCATAACAGCTTTATTCCTAATAGCCAAAAATGGAAAACTTCCCATATCTCCTTCAAAGGCTAAGGTGTTGAACAAACTATGGTATGACCATACCATAGATGGGTACTTAGCAATAAAATGGAACAAACTGTCAATACATGCAATTACTTAAATGAACCTCAATAAAATTATGTTGAACAAAAAAGTCTCAAAAAGAGATGCATTATTTCATTTACATAACAATCATGAAATAACAAAATGGCAAAGGAGAACAGATTAGTGGTTGCCAGGGATTAAGGACAGAGATGGGGGGAAGAGGTGGGTGTGACTATAAGAGGGTAACATAAAGAGTCTTGTAATGTTGCTGTAGTGAAGTATCTTGATTATAATAGTATTTATGCAAGACTTATACATGTGATAAACTTTATAGAGCTACACATGCACACATACACACACAAATGAATACTCGCATAGCTGGCAAAATTAAGTTCTATGATTTGCACTACTGCCACTTTCTTGATCTTGATAATGTACTATGGTTGTGCAAGATGTTAACGTGAGATGGGGGGAGTCTGGCATGGCTTGGGGAAAGGGATATATGGGACTTCCCTGTACATTTCTTTGCAACCTCCTTTTAATCTACAATTACTTCAAAATAAAAAGTTTTAAAAGTATATCCCATAAATTCCTATACAGGTAGTAAAAGTAGGCCACATATTTGACTCTAAGCTCTTGAGAAATCAATCAGAGAGGAAACAATAGTAATTACACAGTTCACAGGTCTACCAAAAAAAAAAAATTGCTCAGAGAGACCAAAATAAAGAAAAAAAAAGAGGAAAAAAATATTGATAGTAAGTATGAGAAGATGGATCTTCCTCCTGCAGATTCCAATGAAAGGAACATTCTATCTTGAGTTTAGACCCTTGAGCTACAGTCCAGAACCCTGAAGAGTAGCCGTCAACTCTACTTTGTCCTTAAAAATTCTCCAGTGGAAAGTTTCTGTATACTGCTTCATGCAATGCAAGGACCAATGGCTTTAACAAAGTCTTAACAGCAGACAGGATCCCATTTCAAAGCACATTCCAACACTAGGGGGTGCACTTCCTGATAGTAGATCACAGCTAACATCAAAACGTATTACAAAGGGAGGCACTTTTGTAGACATGAGCAAAAGCCTTACCAACTCACTTTTCCATTAGGATGCCCTCTCTTTGCCCTTGCCCTGTCTCTCTAACACCTCTATTGTGATTCGTTTCCTTGGAGTTTCGATTCCTCTCATGCAGATGCCTTGGTAGGGAAGTACCTTTCCCACCACCAGATTAAAAAAAAAACAAGAAGGAGGTTCACAGAGAGGATGTCATTTACACGATGTCCTTCACTAGGACTTGAGCTGACTTAGGGATTTAGGCCAAAACCTCAGCTAATAAAAAAGTGTTCCTTTACCTCATTCTTCCTTCTGTTTATACAGGACAGAATTTAAGTGTCAGGATGTGGGTCCTCACCAAATACCATCTTTCCATCTCAACCCAAGTTTTATAGTAGTGGCTTTCACAGGGATTTTCCTGTTTGCTCCAATCTACAGGGAAAAGGCAAGGAAGTCCACATCCAGGGGCCTTTCTGGCCTTACATAGAGCCCCATCTGCCAAATATATGTGACATTCCATTCTTACTCAACCAATAACTTAAGACATTGAGTTCAAAACACTTAAGACACTGAGTTCAATATAACTGACTGATAAGATATGATTATTTCAGGTCTCAGAACAGTGAGCAAATGGCTTCCCCCCTTAAAGGGCTCTTCTAAAGTCAAGGCATTGCTCACCAGTCCAAAAATAAACCCCCAGGAGAAACCTGAAAGTACAAGGATTTGGATTCAGATGATGATCTCGCCAACTTACGTGGAACTGGTCTGAGGTTGCTCAAATGCTTCTTTTGGAATTTTAAGGCCAGGGTTTCGCTTCTTGCCTATGGGGAAAGATGTAAGGAAAACGTTAAGGATTAAATCATAGCAAGATAGCAGAGAAAGAGACTGCAGCAAAGGAAAGAGCTGACCTGCACATGCAGCTCTCACGTCTCCATTCAAAGCACCACTTCCTGCCCAGGAAGTTTGTGAGTGTTGAGAACCCAAGCACCAGGTAGAACAGAGCTTCCCAAATACAGACTGTGGTCATGAATGAGGTTTTTTCATCAGCCCAGGGGGCAAACATCAGGATGAGAATGCCAACTCTCTTTTCCTAGGAAGATCTGCCCTTTCTGCCCACTGAGTGTGTCATTGCAACTTCTTTTTTTTTTTTTTTTTTTAAGACAGAGTCTCACTCTGTCACCAGGCTGGAGTGCAGTGGCATGATCTCCACTCACTGCAACTTCTGCCTCCTGGACTCAAGCGATTCTTCTGCCTCAGTCTCCTGACGAGCTGGGATTACAGGCATGCACCACCATGCCTGGCTAATTTTTGTATTTTTAGTAGAGACAGGGGTTTCTCCATGTTGGCCAGGCTGGTCTCAAACTCCTGACCTCAGGTGATCCACTGACCTTGGCCTCCCAAAGTGCTGGGATTACAGGCATGTGCCACCATGCCCAGCCTATGAGCCACCATGCCTGGCCTTGCTTTTTTTTTTTTTTCTTTTACACTATAATGGTGATGACAGACACTTGGTTATAGCTTTTTTTTTCTTTTTAGTGTTAGTAAAGGGCAGTCACCCTTATCTCAGTATCCCCCTATTTTCTAAATCGATCTGTTAACAACTACAAGAGTTAGCAATGGAAGTAGAATAAAAAATGCTTTTCCACTGTTCTGCCCTCCCCACCCTTTCCCAACCACCTGCTGTAATTTGAAAAACTTAAGAGAGGGATAGAGTAATACTTATTTACATTTGCCCTGTTCCGTAAAGGATTAAGATAACAGATGAGCTTATGCAAGGAGGTTATAACTTCTTCTTGGGCCAGATGGAAAGGTAGCTTGATGTCGATCATACCTGGGCTGAAATTACAAGAGAATTTGGCTCGAATACTTCTGTTGATGAGTGAAAACGAACAGACTGAGAAATACCAGCTCAGGAAGCAGATCAGAGCAAACAAGGGCCTGGGGTTTTCCCCATCCATGGAGATCCTGTGTCTCCCAGGGGAAACCAAGGGAGCACTGGATAGAATGGCTGGAAAGAATGCTACCTCCTGGCCGGGCGCGGTGGCTCACGCCTGTAATCCCAGTATTTTGGGAGGCCAAGGCGGGCGGATCACGAGGTCAGGAGATCGAGACCATCCTGGCTAATATGGTGAAACCCCTTCTCTACTAAAAATACAATAAATTAGCCAGGCATGGTGGTGGGCGCCTATAGACCCAGCTACTCGGGAGGCTGAGGCAGGAGAATGGCGTGAACCCAGGAGGCGGAACTTGCATGCAGTGAGCCAAGATCGCACCACTGCACTCCAGCCTAGGTGACAGAGCAAGACTCCATCTCAAAAAACAAAGAATGCTACCTCCTTTCCCACCTCTTCTCTACATTGCAGATGAGCACTCAGAGATAACACAAACCCTGGATACGGCCCTGGATAGATCCTGAAGCTGCAAAGAAACTTAAGAAATCAATTAAAATAACCTCCTTGCAGAAAAATGACATCCAAAGACTTCAGTGACTTGCTCCACATCACAGAGGTCAGCAATGACCCAGTCAGATCAGAATCCAGGTCTCCTGACACCCAGGTGGGAGTTCTTTCTACTATCCTGCAATAGAAGACGTTTAGAGATGACTGGAGAGGGGGCGAGTGAGAGGAACACGGGATTTTGAGTTTTAAAATATCCAGCTGACATCTGCTTCTTCCATGCACCACACAACTTCTAGAATCACTTTTCATCTGACTCTGTTTTCTCAATTGTAAAATGAGGAAGTAACATCAGTACTCACCTCACTTGACTGATATGAGAATCAAAGCAGATAACATATATGAAAAAATATTAAGATACCGTAAGTAGCTCTTAATTAGACTCATTTAGGGAAACAATTAGTACTGTCTCCTCTTTTTAAAAGTCATTTTAAAAATTCATGAAGAGAATTGGCTACATGATCATAGCCCACTACAATGTATAACGAAATTTTTTCTTTCTATTCCTTCAGAATCCAAAATCAAATCAATTCTGCCAAGTTGTATAAAGCCAGGAAAAAATATGCTTCGCAGTAATCAGCCTAGAGAAAGCCTTTTAGGAACACTTTCAGGCTTTCTCAATTCTCTCCTCATTTGGGTTTACCTATGTATTTTACACGGTTCAAAACTCACCATTCACTTTCCTGCTCTTGGAACTCAAACAGCTGTTAAGGATGTTACCAAATTGTCAGTTATTGACATCACATAGAGCTTTCCTAGGTACCAGGAACTATGCTAAGTGCTGGACCCAGTTATGAGAATCCAAATAGATAGATGGCCTAATTCCAACAATTGCCATCCATATGCCTCAGCCAAACAGACAGGAAATGTTATTTTCAAAGAGACTCTTCAGTGAGGAATGAATGACGGGTTCAACTTGTTTAGATAACTATACAGATAACTACATACAAATTCCAGTACAGGCGACAGATAATTCAGGTAATCCCAAGAGGCAACCCTACAGCCCTCTCAAAGAAAACAAACACTAAAGTAACACATAATTTGCCTATGAAAACTGGTCTCCAGTTGTCATTTAAGCAAACCAAAAGCAGAAGTTACTCTTAAATTCCTACATCTTCCTCTTATTTCTAACTCAGTCCTTATAAGATAGATGTAAAGAGAAATAGCTATTTATTGAGAAAACCCCTTTGGAAAACCTTAATATAGCAATTAATTAGTAGTAATTCTTAACAGCAATTAACTATTAAACCATAACTTAAATCACCAAAACATCTATACAAAGAAACAATAAAAAAGAGAGAACGTTTTTGGCACAGAGAGACCAAAGGAATAAAAGACCAAAATTATAATAAAGTCTTCCAAGAGGGAGGAGAAGGCCTTTGATTCTCTCCCCAGATCACTTTTACACCCAGCTATCCCCCCAACCCCCCACATCAACATCATTCTTACCCTGAATTTACTGCCTCCTAGTTGAAATTGCCAGCCTCCTGTCTCCAGACTCTAAACCCTTGACTATATATAAGTTGAACATCTGCATATCTTAAACCTAATATTTCCAAGTATATCAGCTCCTCAGAGCAACGAGAAAAAATAGATCCAGGAGACACAAAGCCTAGTTGAATTACAGTGTTAGAAAATACTCTGCCTTCAGGTTAAACAGTACATCAAATAAAATACAAATCACAAGCACACACAGCAACATTCTGCAATTCACTTACTTGCCCATCTCTGACAGAGCAGCACAATAAGAGACCGGCAGAGGCGACTCTGGTGAGGTTTTCGAGGCTGCAGGGAAGGCCAGCAGAGGCAAACCTAACAGAAGTCATTCTTCACTTAGCTCCAAAGACCACACTTCAGCAAGGAGAAACAGAACCGAACAGACTCCGCCCCCTCCTCAAGTTCGGATTGTAGCAAACCTCTGCAAGTTCATTGTTCCCAGGAAATTGCAGCTTCAGGAAGGGAGAAGGGAAGTGGGTCTATGTGGACACCCAGGCGTGACATTAATCATTAACCAGACTTGGAGGAATACATCTATAAATCTGGACAGTACCATGTTCTGCAGCTTTTCTATAAATGCCTCTTTCATTTCTTAAAAGAAAAAAAAACAATATGTGGTCAGTTTCCAGCTGTGTTTACTTCACAGCAATCTGTTCCCCCAGGAAGGCAGCCAACACCTGACGCTAACATTGAACACTGTTACAAAAAAAAAAAAAAAAAAAAAGGGAGGGAGCACCATGAATAATAAAGCTAAGTGGCCAACTATGTTCAACAGTCTTTGCCTTTGATATTCTAAAGCAAAGTAGAAAAGATGTCAGAAAAAAAAAGGCTTTCTATGATGTCACATGCTAGCAACACGCCTTCTCAGAAAGAGAGAATTCTATAGATTTCTGCAGATCGCAACAAGCCTCGACTGCTTATTGGCACAGTCTGCAAAGGGTAAGCCTCATCGGCCTGATTGGGCATATGCAGCACTATATTGCATCAGACCCTGTTACACCCATGCCTGTGTTCTCTGAAAATAGCGTAGTCCCACCACACACATATATTTGCAAAATTCATCTTAAACCAAAGCAAAGCTGGGTCATTATAATCCCGGCCTGGAGCAAAATGGCACTGGAAAAAAAAAATTTAAAAAGCCTTGCCAATAGCTAGAAAATATTTACCAGGCCACAGAAATGTTCGCTAGCTTTGACTGCACCGAAAATGATGGGGTACACGAGAGGTCTTGCACACACTCTGAGAGGGTAAGCACAAAGCACTCCTCTGATGTTCCTCATTACATAAAACAGAAGATTGTGTTCCACTGCCAACCCAAACAGCATGAGAAGCCCACGCGGTCAACAGAAGGTGGCATCGTGAAGATACGCTGATGCCTAAATATTTGTTAGCTTGGCCGAGGGTTGGGGGGCATGATTGTGAGAGTTTATGATTATTGACACAGCTTCACAAAAGGATGGCAGTGTTTCCAGTGCCAAATTTATTTTAAAAATCTGTTTCCCAATATGAATGGGATTTCCAGCCAAGTAACTGGCAATCTAGAGGCCTTGGCTGCCCTCTCCTTACTACTTGCATCGAGGCTGACGTTCCAAGGGTAGTTGGCAATAAAATCAGCAGTGAAGTATCATTCAGTGTTATTAAATTGCAATCATCATATGCAAAGCAACGAACGAAGCAGGCAGGGGAAGAGACGTGCAGGAAGAAAGCTGGCTTTGCAACAGCAATGTAAAAGGGAACAGAGACCCTGCCATCCTCCAATCCTCCAAAACCACTGGTTCTTATATACCACTGAGATTCCAACCACTCAAGCAAATCTCTCTGGAATTACATAAAGTTTAGAGAAGAAAAGCTGAAAAGCTTTTTTTTTT